TCCTGCTTCAATCGCTTCACCTGCTTCATCTCCTCCCTTGCTTTCCTGTCCCGCTCGGCCACGAGTCGATTCGCCGCCGCCACGGCCTTGTCCTTCGGCAGCGGAACCGGACTATTCTTGAAGACTAGCCCCCTCGGCTGATCCAAACGTCACAAAAGCAAGTATTCAGGAGAGAAAAGAGCCCGAGAGAAGAGGGCTTACGAATTCAAAGAACCCAGGCTACGGCCGCATTGGGGGATGTCCGGGCACCGGATACACGATGTCGAGGACCCTACCGGTGGAATCCTTCGTCGGCTCCGTCGCCTCCTTGATACGCTGCGCCACTTCCGAATAAGGGAGCGCCTCGTCAACAAGCACCGTCCCTTGACATCCCGGGCATCATCCGATACAGGGGAAGCACGCGCGCCATCAGTGGCGCCACCCTCCTCGCATGGTAGGCACCGATAATCCCCGTCCCCTTTACACCCCGATCCTTCAGGGCTTGGAGGGCGGAAAGAAGGTCGGAGATGTGTTTCTTGTCTTTGGACCGGACACCCCAGCTCCACGACTCCGGAGCATCCACAATAAGGCGTCCAGTGTACCTCGGTAGGGTGGCACTCATGTCATCCCTAACATAAAACCACTACGAATGCCACCCCTTGTTGGATGTCGCCAGACGCATGTGTGGGTAACCCCTCGACCGGGTATGACGTAGATGGATGCTGGCACATCCCATCAGCGCGTTCATATCTTTTCCCCCAATCTTCCTCTTCGATAAACTAATGTTGAAGAAATATCGCCACAGATCAAAATGGGGATCGATCCCCAGGAAACCCTCACACAGGGCAACAAACGCTGCCATGTGTTGAATCCCATTGGGAGTTAGATGCTGCAGCTCTACCTCATAGTAATCCAGCAGCCCCCGAAGGAATCTATGCGCGGGTACCCCGAATCCCCGCTCATGGAAGATGGCAAAAGAGACGACATACCCTTCAGGCGGCACCGGCTCACCCTCGTCGCCAGGTAGCAGCCACTCCTAGACGGCGAACAGTGGGCGGAGAAGGCCACGGCGGACGAGGCCCTCCAGACGCCGGGAGGTGATGCTAGATCTGCCCCACAACTCCATTAAAGCAATAGGGGAGGTGGGCAGGCGCGAGCTTGACGGCGGCTGCAAACACGAACGCAAGCCGATCGACGGTGGCGATGCGGGCGTAGGAGGCTGGGACGATTGGCGGTGGATGTTTCATAATGCAAAGGTAGGGGAGCGAAATACGGAACCTTGGGGGCGAACCCCGTGGTTTTATAGGAGGCGACGGACACGAGAAGGGCAACCGTCCGCCTCGATCTCCGGGCCTGCCACGCGTGCCACCACGTCACATCACGGGACACGCGTCCGTGGTCCCTATCCTCTCACCCCAAGAAATCTCGGCGGACGGTTCGCCTTCCCCAGGCGAATCCGGACTCTCTACCCACCTGGGAAACACAAGCCATGAAGGCCTTTTCTTTTCTCTTTGGCCCGCCCAGGGCCCAGAAGCTCAGTGGCCGGCCCAACTAAGGAAGGATCCGCGAACGATTCGAAATCAAGGGCAGAAGCACCAGTTAGGTCAGCCCTGAATCAGTACCTAGCAAACAGGATGCCACGACCCGCCCGAAAAAACATCCAGTTGACAAAAATTAAGTCCCTCAGCCTTACCCGCGAAGGGACTGATGCGACCCCCCGGGCGACCCTACTCGAATCACCCAGGGGCTCGGGGGCTACACCCATCAGGTGCGCTCGCGCGCACCCTCTGGCAAAGTAACTTCGACGAAGTCAAAAAACACCCTCCAAGCGGTTCTACTCGAATCACCTGGAGGCTCGGGGGCTATTGTCGGGGACCTTATACCGGGGTACCCCAGAAGGTGGGACCAATAACCACCGAACGTGAAAAACTTCCGGACGCATAAGGGCGCCGTTTCATCCCTTGTTCAAGCGACAGGAGTTCGGTTCCGCCTCGCCTGACGCCTTTGGGGCGGGCTCCGTCTCGCCTGACGCCTTTGGGGCGGGCTCGGTCTTGCCCGAGGGCTGAGGGATAGAATCCGCCTCGCCTGACCCCGGAGGGGCGAGGTCGGTCTCGCTCGAGAGATAGGAATTGGTCTCTGTTTCGCCCGACGGCAACGAACGAGTCTCACCCTGCTACATATCTAAAGATTGGATTCGTCTTACCTGACAACTTCTCCCCATTCCCTCAAGATGATAAGTACAGGGCAAGACAAGACGTTTGGGTCAACCATGGCTCCAAGGACCATACCCTGCGCCCTGACAGGAAAAGTACTGCCAGGGGATGATAGGACAGGTGCTTTAGACCCTTCCGGGCGCCGCAGAGCTCGAAAGGTTGTACAGGTGCATGCTCCTCGCCCTGTAGAGTTGTAGGCGCCGCCTTCAGCCCTAGGACACAGAACCCGATGAAGATATACGACAATCGCTACGCTCCAGAAAAGGAATTAATATCTCCACGCACGACGGACTTTCCATCACCACGCTATGGACCTGAGGGAGCGGCACCCGCTTCCCGACCCCTCAAGTCCACCAAGTTAGAAGGCCTTGACCACGTCGTCGCTCCGGACCCCGACCCCTCATCCCTCTGACAGAGACTCATAGAGCCAGAAGGCGTGCGGAGCAAGGCTGGGTGAGGTTCATAAGTCAAAACCACTGTACTCCGGCCCATGCCCTGCGTAGGGTACTATTCTATAACCATCCTGACATTCTACAGAAGCATCGACAGTATTGTAGGCGCCTATCTTCCTTTCGCACCCATCAGAATGGGTAAGGAGGCTAGGTAGAGCACGGATCCTAAGCCACTGACCCTTGTAAAGCCATCCCCTTCATCTATAAAAGGGGATGCGCCTCCTCCAGAAGGGGGGAGGCTGGAGACCGAACAATATGACACACAGATACACACGGTCAAGTTGTTTCGAACCTCTTGACATCCCTTCAACCCCTCCATCAGAGACTTAGGACCAGTCCCTCTCTCGATCGTTTGTACCCCTTACTACAAACCGTTCACGGTGCTAATAACACGAGCAGCAACAAACTGGACGTAGGGACTTTCGGCCCGAACCAGTATAAATCTTGTGTCCTTTAGCGCACCATCCGAGCCTAACGCGCATTACTATAAATTTACTTGCCGGTGCTTGTACGAAACACCGACAGCGGTTTTCCCCCCACACCCTTCCGAGACTTCAGGAGGCCTTGTGGACCGGCTCTTGACATCCGGTGGGCCCCGGCTCTGTCTACGACTCACATTATCAGCCATCCCAGACTAGACTTGGGATGTTCCAGGGCTGAGATGTAGGGTGGCATCGTTCTAGGCTAGCAAGCGGCCGGAATCTGCCTAGACGGGGCACCGTCGAGGATGGCTATCTTGTGGGTATGTGAAACCTCTGCAGAGTGTATGGTTGATCGATCGATACATATGCCGACTCGTCGGCTATGGACCTTTCCTAGGTTTCGCTTAAACTAGATAGGAGATGAGTCCTTCTATCCTCCCTCCAGGGTTGGGGTATTTTCCGGTCGTGAGCCTTGGGGGTTGCGGGCCGTTGAGACAAGTGCCGAGAGGGAGTCGGCCTGTCGACCTGAGTGTGTGAGATGAGATATGGTGTGGTGGTGTGGAGATGGTTTGGGATGGATGGTTGGTGGATGGATATGGATGGATGTGGATGTGTGTGGCTGGAAATGTGTTAAAAACTGGACATTACTATTACATTACTACTGTTACTTACTTCTCATGCGCTAAGGATGCAAACCACAGCCAAATATTAGGATCGCCGGATCCTCTTGTTTTATCTTTTCCACTAAAGCTCATCGGTGCTGACCATGGCCTGCACACATCTGGCGGTGGTAGATTTTCCTGCTTCTCAGATATGCTGACTTTAGAAGGATTAGGAGGTCTCGTGCCTACGCTCAAGTTTGGTTCGGAGAAGGAATCTACGCTGCACTACGCCAACTCTGATGATGCCCATGAAGGAGGAGCCTTCACTCGATAGTCTTCCGCTAGATTAACTCTGTAATAGGTGTGTGTCTCCAGTGATGTAATATCTTGTATTCTTGTAATCTTACGATGTATGACTGTGATATCGACTGATATATGATAATATGATGGAATCAACTATTGGTTTCATCATATTATAATTCATTATGTGGATTTTCCCTTCGCGGAAAATTGAGGATGTTTCACCAGCTACTGCGGTGCTGCCTTCTAGACGGCGGGCAGCGGCCAAGGCAGCAAGGCGCCGAGGCGGCCGTCGGTGGGTGCCTGGGTGGGGTTGAGCCTCGAGCACGGAGCATCGGGGTGAGCATGGATCCACGGTTCCACACCAAGAGGAAGAGGTCGAGGGCTCCACTGCTCGAGCTCGAGGCGTCCATGTGCTGCCGCCGCGCGCCCGACTATGACTGCCCGAGCGGCGGCTGGGTCCGGGGTGATCGGGTGAGGGTTCTGAGGGAGAGGATTTCAGGCTTGTATGCTACGGTTGTTGATGGGCTGCTAGTGGGCCAAATTATTTCGGGGCTCCGATGGTGATCCGCGGGTGAAACTGAAAACCCGCCCCAAACCCGCTAACTTTTGGGTATCCGAACCCGAAAGACCGTGGGCGAGAACCAAACACCAAAACTGAAACCGCTAGACCCGATTCGAACCACTGCCATCCTTACTCTCGTCCACATGATTCGACTTGTGAAAACCATAAAAAGTTGTTAGTATCTTGTATGTAAAAAGTTGCGTCTTTTAACGCCCTAACTTATTTCTTTTGGATTCTAAAAATTGATTTATTTTTAGAAGGAGGAAGTACTAAAGACACAATGGATTAGAAAGTTGATTCCAACCGTTCAGTCATTTTTCGGAACGAGAGTACTAAAAATATTATAGATTAGAAATTTATAAACCATGACTGAAAGTACTTTTGACTGATTTGGTGTGAGAGAAAAATACTTTTTGACTGCGCAACCGACGAGCTCCTGGGGCCGAAACCTGCTCCACCTCGCGGTGATGGGGGCTTGCGTCACGGGGTGGATGGGTGTTTGCAGGTACCTGGTGGAGGAGAAGGGGTTCGATGCCAACTCCACATCTACGGACGGTAATTAATTAATCCCACGCTCCGCCTCGCTCCTCGCCAGAGAATGCTACTGGGTCGCCACTGAGGTGCTAGCTCCATCTCCAATTGCAGGAGAGACGCCCATCTTCGTCGCCACCGAGTCGAACCATGCCGGCGTCGTCCCTCTTCTCAACTACTTTCTCAGCCGCGGCGGCGATCCAGCTGCGCCCGACGCCAGGGGTTGCACGCCGCTGCACAATGCCGCCGAGCACGGTGGGTTAATTTCTCACTCCCTGATCCATCTTCCCAATTTCTTGGAAGGAGGAGTACGATGCGTATTCCCCACTCCCTATTTGGATTTTTTTTTTGGCCTTAAAGAAAAAAAAATCTCCTAACTTTTTAATAAAAGTAAGAACTTGATAAATTTCTCCTCTAACTTTAAAAGTAAGAACTTGGTTAGAAATAGTTCGGGTTCCCAATACAAATTTTTTTACTAGGCTAGTATTGAAAACTATTGGAGATGAAAATAAATTGAGGTTGCTACTCATTTTGTTAACTCGCTAAATTTATTGGTTTAGCAAGATAATTATAGGAAACACCTGGAGTTGGAGTTGCTCTTAGGTCGGTGTAGTTATACAGAGGACATCACCTATATATTGTAACTTGCTTGTACCCTTTAGATAGAATGTATGTAGTCCGTCAAGACCGATCTTTTAATTTGACCCTTGGATCAGATATATATGATATGAGAGCAGTTACATTACATGCATGAATTACGGGCATGTACACTAGTTGATGCTAATAGATTCACTTTAACAAAAAAAATGTCAAAGGGAGTATATACAAACTGTCAGTACTCAGTGGCGGTGAAAATTTCAGACCAGCCGGCTGGTCCGGCTATTTCTCCTCATATTGCTACAGTGCATCTTCCAACCGCTACAGTATTTCTCTCTCACATAACCAGCCGCTACCGTGTTTTGGCTTATTTTTTCAGATAAGCGAACGGGGCCAGTAATGTTCTATGGAGGTGCTTAATCTGTGTATCATTTATAGTTTCTGCATGCATGCTCTGGTTTCAATTCTCTTTCATTTGTACCTCCGATCCAGGGCACAGCGAGGCTATAGGACTGCTGCTGTCCAGGGGTATTCCCGTGGATCCTCTCAACTATCACGGGACGCCGCTGCACTTGGCTGCAGGAAAGGGCCATGCCCAGGCTCTCAAGGTCCTGCTAGAGCATGGTGCCGATGTAAGCAATTAGAAAGACTCCAGCTAAAAATTCTGTGTCCTTATGATGGATTGTTTTTTTTTCTTCCTGTTGCAGCTTAAGCAGTATTGATCTGGATGTATTATAACTGCTATTCACCTTCCTTTGCAGCCCAATAGAGTTGTCAATCATGTGTCTTCACCACTCCTGATGGCTTGCTTTGCTGCCAAATTGGAATGCGTTAAGCTACTGGTTAAGGTCCACATATTCACTTAAAAGCTTGTTCATGGCATGCTCATGTTTGTACTTACATGTTCACTGAACCTACTTTATTCTGCAATTCTGCAGGCTGGTGCTAACGTGAACTTCCAACGTCCACCAGGGCCAACTATGTTATTAGCTGCAGTTAGCGTTGGCTCAACGGACATTGTCAACTTCTTGCTAAAGGCCGGAGCGGACCCTAATATTCATGATGGGGTATTGTATTAATGACTCTTTCTTTATTTGTTTCTTCTGTTTATTTGCTTTTGTGCTTTGTAATCTGATTCTGATGTGCACTATCTCTATCACGCTTTTCATATCTGATGGTTGAACTAGTTCACACAAAAATCATTCATGCTGTTCCTAGATGTTTCTACTTATATATTCAAAACTCTTGTCTAGGCACATCTATATAGTTTCCAGTTCTTGATCACTGTCTGGATTTTAAAATTGAGCAATTTTGCCGTTTTTTCCTTCAAATTCTGTTGTTGATGTCACCGGTGCAAAGATTCTTTTAAGAGGATACCCTTGTCAGCTTTCATGCCGGCTGTATCCCTCTTAAATCTTTGCAATTGTAATGCAGTGTGGGAAATTCCCAATCATGCTAGCAGCTTCTCATAAGCGACGTGAGCTTGTTAAAATTCTGCTTCCTCGGACAAATCCCATTCCTTCCATGCCAGACTGGAGCGTTGGTGGGATTATTGGTACCATGAAAACTCTAGCCCCGGTACGTTAGCACACTTCTCCAAAGATTATTACCGTCAGAACCCTTTGTAACACGTGCCTTGCATGGAACTGAACATGTGCTACCTTTTTTAGGTGTTGGCTGAAGAACCAATTGCTAATGTCAAGTCAGAAGGAAAGGAAGCGTTTGCAAATGGGGACTACGGTTATGCAATCCACTGTTATTTGCGGGTATGTCTTCGAAGCATAACACATGATGTGCTTGTTGGGGTTATACAAAATGTTGTGCGATAGATAGTTAGTTTGGAATATTGTATTGCTAAGGAGACATCCATTTTGAGATTGCGGAGCAGTATGAAACTGATGCTGATGGAACCAGCTGCTGAATAAATTTACTGTATGTAGTTCAATCAAACGAACCATGAGATAGATAATAATAACCAAGTTCTTCTCACCTATTGTTCATGCAGGCAAGCGCCATTGACCCACATGACGCCACCATACTGGCTAACCAGAGCCTATGCTGGCTGAAGCTGAGAGAAGGGGAGCGAGCTGTGTCCAGTGCTCAACAATGCCGAAGGTTGCGTCCTGATTGGGCTAAGGCATGGTACCGCGAGGGCACAGCTCTCAGCTTGCTACAGGTATATATATGTATGGCTCTCACGATACATAATAGCAGTAAGCCTTGCAACCAACATAATCTGATCTGTCCATTTGTAATTATGTCACCACCGTGTGCTGTTGACTATATATAATCTCGATTTGCAGAAGTACAAAGATGCGGCCGATGCGTTCGTGGAAGCGCTGAAACTTGACCCCGGGAACGATGAGGTCGAGAACGCGTTAAGGTATTAGCGCAATCTGCCGCTGCATATATAATTTCAGTGCTCACCCGAATGCGAGTCGTCCATCGTCATCCATGCATGCATGGCCGTGCTTTTTCTTTTTTTGCGAATACATTGGGAGCGTTGACATCTGAACCGCAGCTCTTGCATACTGCATTTGTGTTGTGGATGGTACTCTTACTAGGCTTTTGATTCTTGAAACCTGCAGAGAGGCCATGCGGCATCGAGATGGTGGCAATGCAGGAGAGAACCCTTGAGCATTCATAATCCTCGGATCCTCAGCAGTCAGCACTGTATGGGGGCTGATCGATATTAGCTAGTTTTATTTGCTCCTTGAACTCAGATCATTCTGTGGCTTCAGGCCGGTAAGTTTATCAGGCAGGAACGAAGCATATATATGTTGATACAAGAAAAGATATGTGGACTCGGCGTTGGTGGTTATGTTAATGCTCGTTATTTAGTTGAAATCTCACCACTTGCAAGTTAGTCGATCCATCCAACTATCCAAAGCTTTAATCTTGATGTGGTCTTTTAATTTGTTGGCGTAAGCAAATTCTAGAGAGTATGCACATTGAGGTAGTCCTTTTTATTTTTGTTTCCCCTTTGAGAACAGCAGGAATGTAAATATGTACTCCTAATGCATAGGATCTGAGGATTTTGTTCTTGTGTCTGTTGGGAGTTCAGCAGCTCATTTGCCGACGAGCGACGAGCTTTGAATGTCGACGGCTGGGCCGTATTTGACTTGTTCGATCGAGACATGGCGGCCGGCCCACTACTATTTGCATTTCTATTTTTTTGTTTTCTTGCACAATCACGTCAATTAATAAAAATAAAAAAAGCAAAATTACGTTGTAACACAAGCTAGTCGGAATCTATTGAATCCTTGAAGTACGTACAAATGTAAGCAAGCGTTAGCGTTCTAGATTGATTTATACCATTTGCGTTCGCACATTATCCTTCACTAGATATGTGCTGTGTTATTTTGTGAGGATCTCTTTTTTCTTTTATGCTTGACTTGATGCGGAGGATGATTTTTGGAGGACGTGGAAAAGACCAAAAAGGAATGTGGTGTACGCGTGTAGTACCACAGAGCTGAGCCCACCACACACGATTTAAGGCCCTCTTTGAGCGGGTGCGTATCAGGCCCACTCCAGACCGTAATGAGGAACGGACTGAGCTGATTAAGACGCAAAGTACGGCCCTCACTGTTACAGCCCAAACGGATTCCAGTCCATCAGAAGTGGAGATCCAACTGTTTCACGTGTTGGGCTTTCCGCAAATGGCACAGAGAAATGCTCGCGGCCCATATATCTTGCGGGCGCGAATCGGTTTCCCCTCCTGGCCGAGGCCTTTTACGAGGCCGATTATCTGCTCAAGAAAAAAAAACGAGGCCGATTCTTTCGCCAAGTCAGGGCCCACCTCTATCACTCTCGTCTCTATACATTTCTGGGCGTTTTTTTTTCATTTAATTTAGCAGCAGCTTTCATGGGATGGGAAGGCAGCAGCGCACGAAGCTTCCCATCGAATTTTTAAAT